CGTGTCCACTTTGCTCATGTCCCCGGCTGCCCACCAGGAGCCCTGTCCGCGGCCCGGCGCCCGGGGCTCACCTGCCCGCTTGTCCGGGCACAAGCAGAACCCAGTCCATCCCCGCTATACCGTGCTGCCGCTTTGCAGTTTTCTCTCGATAAAACCCATGGAAAAGTCTCCTATAGTAGCTAGTGCCGATTCCATTTTGCCAAGAAACAAACTAACAACAAACTTGGGAACTAACAAACATCTCAGAAATAAATTTAAACAAACAACTTCTTACTGAGATAATTCCCCGGAGTGGTAACATCTGGCATCGCTAGAGCGCGTGTGGAGGCCAGTGCATCGGGCACACGCATGTGTGTGTGTGTGTGCGCGCTGTCAGTCACACCATGTGCTGGTGGCTCCACCGCAATCAAAACAGAGCAGCTCTGCCCCAGGGATCCCGCCTGCTGCCCTTTTACAGCCACAGCCCCCTCCCCGCCCCCCAAACCTTCCCTGTGGCCACCCCTGTGCCCGTCTGCAGTGTTGGTCCGTCCTTCCTTCCGCTCAGGGACGATGGCGCCTCTTCCTCTGTGTCCGCACTCAAGCGCCTGGAGCGCAGTCAGTGGACGGATAAGATGGATTCTCGGTTCGGATTTGAGAGGCTCAAGGAGCCAGGGGAGAAGACGGGCTGGCTGATCAATATGCACCCGGTGAGCACCGGGCTCCCCCTTCCTCCCCCGTGGCCCTCGCCTGAGGGTGGGTGCGCTTGGCGTGGGAGCCTGTTGTTTGGGTGGCACAGTGGAGATGGGCTTGTTGTTGTTCTCCTACTTTTTAACATTTCAGGCCATAGAAGACGTTGAGGAGGTGGGGGGGGGGTAAGAGTATAACTTTCAAGGATGAGGGAGAAATGGAGAGAGATCCCCATTGGGAGGCTGCTGTGCTGGTTCTGGTGACTGGGTGGGTGTTGTAGGGAGCGGGGGGAGGTGAGAAGTGGGTGGAGAGGGAGGTGGGTGGGGGACGGGGGAGGGGTGTGTGGTTCATGAAGAGCAGGAGGAAGGGGCTCTGCGTAGAGCAGGGTGGGGACCCTCTTCCTGCCAAGGGCCATTTGGATATATATGACGTCGTCCATGGACCAGACAAAATTAATCAGCTAACAAATTAGCCTGCTGTATTTGGTCAAACTTTTTTTGAAATATATTTTTATTGATTTCAGAGAGGGAGAGAGAAATAGAAACATGGATGAGAGTCATTGATTGCCTGCCTCCTGCACGCCCCCTCCTGGGGATCGAGCCCACAACCCCTGGCTTGAATTTTAAAGATCAAGTATATTTAAAACCATTTAAAAATAGTTTCTCCTTTCAATGTAAAAGCTGAGGGAGAGACGAGAAAGAGTGAAGGGGAACAAAGAAAGGAAAAGCTCCCCCTGCACCCCCCCCCCCCCCCCCCCCCCCGCCCCGGGTAGAGGATAACCTCGTGCCCATACTGACTCTTGCAGACTGAGGTTTTAGATGAAGATAAACGCCTGGTCAGTGCAGTGGATTACTACTTTATTCAAGACGATGGGAGCAGATTTAAGGTGAGCCCCTGAAACCAAGAAGGTGCGCCCCACTCTGACAAGGAAGGCTCCGCTGAGCTGAGAATGAGAATGTTCATTTAGCTCCGCAGCTGCAAGGCTTGGGAGCCCTCCCTGTGCCGCTGCCTGGAGCCCATCGGGAGCATGGCCCTTGCAGTGCCTCGGCGCCCACTGAGGGTGTGCTGTGCTGAGAGACGCCGGGAAGGGGGCGGGGCCATGCAGCCCTGAGTCCCTGTGGCCCCGTTTCTCCTGAGAGTGACAAGGCCAGTGCACTGCGTCTGGCAGCCTCTCTTCACCATTCTCCCTTTTCCTCTCATCGCCCTTGAACGGGTTGGTGACTCTTGCAGGTGGCGCTGCCCTACAAACCATACTTCTACATTGCGGCCAGAAAGGTAACTCTGGCCCCTGAGAGTCAGTTCCGATGAACTGTGCCTCCTTGTTCTGGGGGAGCGTCGGGACTGGGAACGAAGAGGCCTCTGGAGGGACCGCAGGGAAGGAGATGGGCTTTACTAACGGAGGCCTTTCCTTCTGGTCCTGACTTAGGGTTGTGAGCGAGAAGTTTCGTCTTTTCTCTCCAAGAAGTTTCAGGGTAAACTTGCTAAAGTAGAGACCGTTCCCAAAGAGGATCTGGACTTGGTGAGTGTCCCTCAGACCTTCCAGGGTATGTAAAGCTGGGCCCACTCTGCCGGCCGGCAGTGACCTGGCAGGAGGCCAAGCTTGGCACCTGTGGGTGTGGGGAGGTACCGACGATGGGGCCTTGACGCCTGGACGTTGGTCCCACAGGCAAGGTTGGACAAGGTGCTTGGAGTTGCCAACTCTTTGACAAGTATATTTACCTTTGAGTCATCCTGCCCTTATTTTCTCTCCCAATAAAATCCGTCTTCTCTGGACCTCATAAGCATGATCTCTTCACTCTGCAGCCAAATCACTTGGTGGGTTTGAAGCGAAATTACATTAAGCTGTCTTTCCACACCGTGGAGGACCTTGTCCGAGTGAGGAAGGAGATCTCCCCTGCCGTGAGGAAGAACCGGGAGCAGGGCCACACCAGTGACACCTACACGGCTATGCTCTCCAGGTAGGTTTCCTCCTGTGGGCAGAGCAGCCAGTCAGCCCACAGGACTTTCCCATTTTTCCTAAATTGACAAGATGGATGGGAGGTGGGAAAACTCAGCAATTAAGTTCTCTCTCTCTCTCTCTCTCTCTCACTCGCTCTATCGCAGTGTTCTGCAAGGGGGCAGTGTGATTATGGACGAAGAGGAAACCTCTAAGAAGATTGCGGACCAACTGGACAACATCGTGGACATGCGAGAGTACGACGTGCCCTACCACATCCGCCTCTCCATCGACCTGAAGATCCACGTGGTGAGTGGCGTGGCTCAGGGGTGGGACTGAAGGGTAAATCCACGAAAACAGATGCAGAGCTCTAGCTCAGGGTTCCCGTCCTGCAGGCACACTGGTACAACGTCAGGCACCGAGGGAGCGCCTCGCCGGTGGAGATCACCCGCCGAGATGACCTGGTTGAACGGCCCGTAAGTGCTGCTTGCATTTCCTCCTTCCCCAGTTTCCCATTGGTTTTTGGAGAGGTCTCATTCAGTGCTGAGAGGTGAATTTGATTCAGAGGTTTGCTTGCTTCTTTTTCCTAAATACTTTCTGGAAGGAGTTGTGGACTAGTCACTTTTCAGGTCAGTTTCTGACTTCGAGTATAATTTCCCCTGTGCCTGTGCCTCCCCGGGTGATGTGTGTGAGCTGGGCTGGATCTGAGTGTGGGAGGGAGCACCTCGACTTCCACGCGGGGAGTTGATAGCGAGTGATGTGGTGAAACTGGATTCATAACTGGAAGGCCTTGGCTCGGGGACAGCTTCACCATCATGTTTTCTCACGTCTAAGATGGCGACGTCAGCCCTGAGCCAGTCTTCTGTCAGGGTTGTCACGAAGGCCAAAATGGGGTCATGCTTTTTTTTTATTATGATTTTGTGAAACAGGACGGAGAGAAAGAAACAATGATTTGTTGTTCCACTTATTCATGTCTTCATTGGTTGGTTCTTGTATGTGCCCCGACCGGGGATTGAACCTGCAACCTTGGTGTATCGGGACGATGCTCTGACCAACTGAGCAACTCGTCCTGGATGAGGTCATGCATTTTAAGGAGCCTTGAGACTCGGGTGTTGTGCGGTCGTAGGCTTTTCCTGAGATCTAGCCTTTTCTCATATTGTTGGCTGTCACTCCACCAGGGGGTGTGGAATCCTTGATGTGGGCCGGATAGCCCCAGGCACCCGTTCCTGGGAGCCTTTCCCTGTGGCAGCTGGCCTCTGGGTTTTAGCAGCTGAAGGTGCGTGTGTTCCGTGGCCGATTCATGCTACGTTTTGTCCCTCTAGGACCCTGTGGTTTTGGCATTTGACATTGAGACGACCAAACTGCCCCTCAAGTTTCCTGATGCTGAGACTGACCAGATTATGATGATTTCCTATATGATTGATGGCCAGGTGAGCAGTGCCTTCTGGAGTGTGAACTCCCTGGAAATAGGGACCTTGTCGGTCTCAAACCAGAACAGTGTTCACCCCACGACTCACAGTTTTGGGTGAATAATGAGTGAGTGGAATCCAAGGAAGTGAGCAAGCAGGCTGTCTGACACCAGCACGCTCCCCCTTCCGATGGGAGTCCGACACTCGGTGTGGACGCTCAGGCAGCTCCCAGTGCTGCTCAGGTTGCTGTAGTCTGAGTTTCTGGGCCGAGTGCCAAGAGGCGGGCTCAGCTTTGTGTCTGACCCACGCACCTGCTGGTGAACTTCTAGGGCTACCTCATCACCAACAGGGAGATTGTGGCAGAGGACATTGAGGACTTTGAGTTCACCCCCAAGCCGGAGTACGAAGGGCCCTTTTGTGTCTTCAATGAGCCTGACGAGGTAGAGGTGTCGCTGGGAAGCTGCTGGTGCTGTGGTGAGGTGGGAGGAGAGGCATGCTGACCCTTCTGAGGCCTCGGCGTGCCTACAGTCAGAGCAGCAGCTTCTGGGCTTGGGGTTCCTGTTGTGACCCTCACGCATGTGCAGGCGCTAATGAAGGGTTGCGTGAGGTTGCTTTTCCAGAACTTTGGGAGAGGTGCTTGGAAGGAGTTTGAAAGAGGAAAAGCAACCCTCTGAGTGCCTGATGTGTTGAATTCAGGTCCATCTCATCCAAAGATGGTTTGAACATGTGCAGGAGACCAAACCCACCATCATGGTTACTTACAATGGGGACTTTTTTGACTGGTGAGTCTAATGTCTAATTGGTGAGTAACTAAAAGTGTTCAGGAGGGCAGGTTACACGAATTGGGAATATACCTAATGCTACTGAAGTGTATGCTGAGAGATGGTAATGATGGGAAAAGTGGGAGGGGAGGGGTAGGAGGGCGCTGCATTTGAGGAGTCGGTGTGAGGAGCTCCTGGGGTAGCGCAGCATCCCCTGGGGACAGTCTTCCCTGTCCCTGAGGGGATTAGAGACTAACCTGAAAGTGCTTGTCCAACCTCTCTGGTCCCTAGGCCATTTGTGGAGGCCAGAGCAGCTGTCCACGGACTGAGCATGTACCAGGAGATCGGATTCCAGAAGGACAGCCAAGGGGAGTACAAGGCGCCCCAGTGCATCCACATGGACTGCCTCAGGTCGGTCCCGCCGCTCCCCTGGCAGCTTGTCAGTGTCCCGGGAGGGTGTCCACGGGTGCAGGCCTGTCCACACCTGGGAGGGAGGGAGAGAGCCTCTGGGAACAGCCCTCCTCTCTGAGGACAGCGGCTGCAGGCTCTGGCATCTCCTGAATTTGCAGGTGTGTTTGTGAAATTACCTGGATCCAGATGAGTGATTTTCACGAAGGGCCTGCACCGTGTAGGGTCTTGGTGCAGAACTTGGGGTGCCTGTTAGGTCTCTGCACCTTGCTGTGTGTGTCCAGCTTTGCCACCTTCCACAGGTTCCTGGACTTGGTCTCAGACTCACCTTTGGCCTTTGCTCTCCTAGGTGGGTGAAGAGGGACAGCTACCTCCCTGTGGGCAGCCACAACCTCAAGGCGGCCGCCAAAGCCAAGCTGGGCTACGACCCTGTGGAGCTGGACCCCGAGGACATGTGCCGGATGGCCACCGAGCAGCCCCAGGTTCCTGTGCCGCGCTGACTCGGGGCTCTGGGGGCCAAGGGGGACCTCTGGACATGCCGTGGCCCTTATCTCTGATGTGCTCTCCTCAGACTCTGGCCACGTATTCGGTGTCGGATGCGGTGGCCACGTACTACCTGTACATGAAGTACGTCCACCCCTTCATATTCGCCCTGTGCACCATCATCCCCATGGAGCCTGATGAGGTCAGTGGCTCTCCCGGTCCTGGCAGCCTGTGTGGACTGGGCCGTGGTTTGAAGCCTGGTGTTTCCCCGTAGGTGCTGCGGAAGGGCTCCGGGACCCTGTGCGAGGCCTTGCTGATGGTGCAGGCCTTCCACGCCAACATTGTCTTCCCCAACAAGCAAGAGCAGGAGTTCAACAAGCTGACGGAAGACGGCCACGTGCTGGACGCCGAGACCTACGTGGGCGGCCACGTGGAGGCCCTCGAGTCGGGCGTGTTCCGCAGTGACATCCCCTGCCGGTTCAGGATGGTGCGCCCCCCCGGGTCTCCCGCGGCCTAGAGGCACCCAGGAGCCACCAGGGCTGAAGGAACGCCCTCACCCCTGGCGGCCCCACCAGGCGTCCTTTGTCGGGCCTGCCCTCGTCCAGGACAGTGCAGCGTCCCGTCCCGCCCAAGGTAGGCTGGTGGCTGCCAGAGCATTCTCCGTCTCACCTGTGCCCCTCTCGGTCACTTCTGCTAGAATCCCGCCGCCTTTGACTTCCTGCTGCAGCGGGTGGAGAAGACCATGCGTCACGCCATCGAGGAAGAGGAGAAGGTGCCCATGGAGCAGGTCACCAACTTCCAAGAGGTAACTCTCTGGAGGTGTTCCCACGCCTGTGGACTGGTTCCTTCACACGTGGCCTGTCGTGCACCTACTGTGTGCTGGTGCTTGGCCCTGAGACGGGTGACAGTGTTGTCACAGTCGACGCCCGACTTCCTGGCTGGGAGAGCTTCACAGGCTCTGGGAACGTGGGGGGTCTTAGCCCACTTGGATTCAGTAGGCAGCGAGGAGCTATTGGAGGCTTTCAGTTTATTTTCTCGTTAAGGGGCCTTTAAAAGGACAGTAGCCTGGCCAGAGTGGCTCCGTTGGTTGAGTGTCATCCCAGCCACCGAAAGGTTGCCAGTTCAATTCCCAGTCAGGGCACATACCTGGGTTGTGGGATTGATTCCCCAGTCGGGGAGCATTCACTTGTTTCTCTCTCACATGCATGCATATTGCGCACTCTCTCCCTCTCTAAGCATGTCCTCTGGTGAAGATTTAAAAAAATTTTTTTAGTGATGACAGTAAATTCTTAGAAATTACAGAGTAGGATATAGTGACTAAAATCCATCAAATATGAGCACCAAGTGTCCTTTGCAGTGTGTCACCTGTCTGGGGACCCCAGGCACCTTCCCCCGTGCTGGCCTTGATCCCTCGGACACTGTCGGGCTCCGCTCAGCACTGCAGCGCGTTCGCTGACTCCCCTGGGGGTAGTCTGTACCGGTTTTAGGATCGGTTCCAAGGAACATCTTGTAACAGATTCAGCAGTTTTCTCCCACTTCCAATCCTGCCCCTGCCGTGCTGTCCTCATTAGGGCTCTGCTCTTGCATGCAAGCCTCCTGCACCTCCCGGCCTGGTGTTGGGCTGTCTTCGGTCTCTAGTCTCCAGTTTTTATCGGGTCACCAGCCTCCACCTCCTTCCTCTTCCTCTGTAGGTGTGTGATCAGATTAAGGCCAAGCTCACCTCCCTGAAAGATGTTCCTAACCGTATCGAGTGTCCCCTTATCTACCACCTGGACGTGGGCGCCATGTACCCCAACATCATCCTGACGAACCGCCTGCAGGTAAGACGGATGCCTGTGTCAGGACGGAGTTCTTCGGCCTGGCCCTAACTGCTCCCTCCCGTCCCCTCCGCAGCCCTCCGCCATGGTGGACGAGGCCACCTGTGCAGCCTGTGACTTCAACAAGCCGGGGGCGAACTGCCAGAGGAAGATGGCTTGGCAGTGGAGGGGCGAGTTCAGTGAGTGCCTGCCGGGCTGGGGGTGCTCAGCAGGAAGCGGTGGGTCTCTCACACTCTTCTCTCACCTGTCACCTTCCCAGTGCCGGCCAGTCGCAGTGAGTACCATCGGATCCAACACCAGCTGGAGTCGGAGAAGTTCCCTGCCTTGACCCCTGACGGCCCCGCCCGGGCCTTTCACGAGCTGTCCCGCGAGGAGCAGGCGAAATATGAGAAGAGGAGGCTGGCAGGTGAGGGGCCGTCGTTGGGCTGTGTTGGTGCGGCACGGCCTCCGGTCAGTAAACCGGTCGTTGAAGCCTCGGTGACCCAGCTCCTCCTGTAGGTTCCCGTTCCTCGTTTCCCTGCATTGCTCAGGGCTCAGCTCCTTCCTGTGGTCTCGGCTGTTTGGCCCACTCACATGGGGGCTGCCTTTCTTTGATGTGATAAGCTAGCTGCAGAGAAAGCTGCGTTGGTTGGCCTCCATGGCATCCTGGCTTCCTTTATCTCCCACGTGGAGTCGCAGTGCCCCCTCCCATTGTGCCTCAGATTACTGCCGAAAGGCGTACAAGAAGATCCACGTGACCAAGGTGGAGGAGCGCCTCACCACCATCTGCCAGCGGGAGAACTCCTTCTACGTGGACACGGTGCGCGCCTTCCGGGACAGGCGCTATGAGTTCAAAGGTCTCCACAAGGTGGGCCTCCTTTTCTCAGATGCTGGCCCTTGCTGGGTGCTGCCGGACAGTCGTGGGTGTGCAAGCACATCCTCAAGTGCCTGCTTTCGGTGCTCTGCCTGTCAGGGTGTCCGAGTTCTGTTGTTTGAGAATCCCTATAACGCAGCTTGTCAGCTGCATCAGGTAAGTGAATGGAATCACGGGGCCGCCTGGGAGCCCCTGGGTCTCTGGCCACGCGAAGCCCTGCCTCTGTTGCTGCTCTTCAGACGTGCACTCATTCGCGGCCCCAGGTCCTCCTGTCAGGCCCTGGGCTCTGTCCGAGGAGGTGAAGTTGCCCCCAAGTCTAAGGTGTCCAGTGGGCTGTTGCTGTGATGGAGTATTTTCTCCTCGTCCTGACCTCACAGGAAATAAAAATGGAGCCTGGCACATGTCTCTGTGTTCAGAAGCCCTTTCAGGACGTCAGCCTTACACGGGGCGGTTCTAGGTTAAAGGTGAATCAGGCCACGTGAGAACTGAGCATGTGGTTCTGGCCTGGCTCCTGGGTTGGGGTTGTGCAGACCCCATAGGGACAAGTCCATGTTGTGTCCGTGGTAAGTTTCTTCGGGGTGAGAGCAGCATTACGGTTATGCAGGAGCTTGTCCTTGTCCCGAGAAAGTGTGTGCTGACACGTTTAGTACCTTCAATGTCAGTGACAGTGCTGAGAGAGAGAGAGAGAGAGGGAGAGAGGAAGAAAGCGGGGAGAGGGGGGAGAGGGAGGAGGGAGTAATAAAGGAAATATGGCCAAAATCAAGTGTCCCTCTAGAAGTGCCTGCGGTCTTCATTCTGTTTGTTAAGTTTCCGATACATTTGAAGTTTTCAAGATGTGAAGTAGCTGTGACTGTAGAGTGGGAGCTGTGATCTAGGCGTTGTGTGTCCCCAGGTGTGGAAAAAGAAGCTCAGTGCAGCCGTGGAGGCGGGCGACGCGGCCGAGGTCAAGCGCTGCAAGAACATGGAGGTGCTGTACGACTCCCTGCAGCTGGCACACAAGTGCATCCTCAACTCCTTCTACGGCTACGTCATGCGCAAAGGGTACGCTCTCGCTGGGCCTGGGCGAGCTGGGCGCCTGCGGGCCTCTGTACAGAAGCGTGGCTGGAAGCGGTCTGGGGCAGGTGGAGGGAGGGCCACATCGACTCGTGGGTCTGGGGTAACAAGGGGCATGGGCACCACTGGGCATGCTCGTCTGAACGTCCTGGGCAGGAGACAGCAGTTCGGTAGTTTCTGTCCTATGTCTGTGACTTAAGGAATGGCACCACCAGGCCGTGGAGACGGTCCCAGCCGTTCCTCAATGCTAAGCAGCCGTGGGATTAACAAAGGGGTAGAGTTGATTGAGAGGTTGAGTGGGGCGGGGGGAGGGAGCGGCCCAAGGTGGAGACTCCTGGGCCCGGGTTCCGGGGTTGGGCGCTGCATGGCGATGGGGTGAGGTGGGGCCTGAGTGTCTCCATTGGACGTAACCAGGTGGGTCAGCAGGGCAGCTCTGGGGAGGAAGAGAAGTGGTGGGTGGCACAGGGACTGGATTGGAGGGAGGGTCATTGTGTGTATTTGTGCTGCTTTTTAACGGCAGAGGGAGTGGGGCAGAGAGCAGGGCTGGAGCAGAGCAGAGTTTCAGGCAGGAGGTGTGAGAACAGTGGGCCAGCGGCCGCTGAGGGCACCTTCGAGTGTGTTTTCCCTGAGTCGCTGGGGGATGCACATGGGGTTGGGAGAGTGGAGAAGGCTCACGGGGACACCAACCATCAGGGATGGTGTGGAGAATCCCCTGAGGCTGGGGTCATGAACCATTGTGCTGCCTCCTTCCAGAACTTTCCAGAGCTGAGCCCAACACACTGAAGTAGGAACAGAGAAGGTTCTCAGCACAGAGCTAATGTCCCCCTGAGCCCTCCGGCCCAGCTTCCGAGTCCCCTTCTTGGTGCCCTTCCCTCCCCCCCCCACCTCTCCTTTGATCTCGATGACCCTCTGGGGGGAGCCCACCCACCTGCAGCTGTGACTGTCTTCCCAGGGCCCGCTGGTACTCCATGGAGATGGCCGGCATCGTCTGCTTCACGGGGGCCAACATCATCACCCAGGCGAGGGAGCTGATCGAGCAGATCGGGTGAGTCCCGAGTCGGGAGCAGGCCGGCAAAGACTGGAGAGTGGGGGACCTCGTCTGCTGTCAGGACTTGACGGGGGCCTCTTACTACACGGGCCACAGTCCGGCCTGCATGTGGCCTCACTCTCTGTCCTCTGAAGGAGGCCCTTGGAGCTGGACACAGATGGGATATGGTGCGTCCTGCCCAACAGCTTCCCTGAAAACTTTGTCATCACCACGACGAGCGTGAAGAAGCCCAAGGTGACCATCTCCTACCCTGGGGCCATGCTGAACATCATGGTCAAGGTGAGCCTGGTTTCCAGCGCCTGTCTGACGTGGGTTGGGAGAGGGGACTGGGCAGGCCCTGTCCACTGCTGGGAGCCCCGGTCATGTGCAGGTTTGGCTGGTAACGGTGAGGCTGCCCCTCTTGGTCTGGTTTTGCAGGAAGGCTTCACCAACGATCAGTACCAGGAGCTGGCCGAGCCGTCCTCGCTCACCTACGTCACCCGCTCCGAGAACAGCATCTTTTTCGAGGTTGACGGGCCCTACCTTGCCATGATCCTTCCAGCCTCCAAGGAAGAAGGCAAGAAGCTGAAGAAGAGGTAGGAGCCCCCCAGCCTCGGTGCACGGGAAAGGAAACGACGGATTCGATTAGCAACCTGCCCGGGATGGACCAGGAGTCAGGGTGGGGAGACCTCGGTCCTGTCTTCTGGCCTTTTTGCCTCAGTTCGGGAAGCTTTTGACACTGATGCCACCAGCTCTGTTCTCCACCTGTTAGGTTCTGCTCCACAGGCGCAGGCCCTTCAGTCATTTTTATGTTGGAGGGAGACCCTCGGTGCAGAGACGTGTGTGGATTTGAGAGGTGGGGTCAGGAGGGCAGTGAGGAGCCAGCTCACAGCTCCGTCACGCTGTGCCCGCTGTGCTTCCAGGTACGCTGTGTTCAACGAGGACGGCTCCCTGGCCGAGCTCAAGGGCTTCGAGGTGAAGCGCCGCGGGGAGCTGCAGCTCATCAAGATCTTCCAGTCGTCCGTGTTCGAGGCCTTCCTCAGGGGCAGCACCCTGGAGGAAGTGTACGGCTCTGTCGCCAAGGTGGCCGACTACTGGTTGGACGTGCTGTACAGCAAGGTGAGGTCGCCCTCCCACCTGGCTCGGAGGGATCCTGCAGGCAGAGGGACCCAGTGACAGATGAACTCAGGGCTAATGCTGGTGAAATCCCAAGACTTGCTGAGTGTGTCCAGCGGCAGGATTCTGTGAAGGAGACAAATAGCATGTGAGAAAGGAATCTAAGAGAAAAACTTGCCAAGCGTCACATTAACTTCTTTGATTTCTCAGGCTTTGTTGGCCCTGTAAATGCACATACAATTCCTACAATTTAAATGAATTGGCCTGTCTAGAACACGCCTTCCTGTGGAATTGATCACGGTGCCTGTGCTGCTCTGTAGTGCTTGCATGTCATCGAGTCTGCGTGGTGGGTCAGTTTCCCGAGCGAGGCCTCTGCTGTGGTATCAGGGAGGCTCCTGCTTTCCATTGTGATGACGTCAGACATCTTTGCACAGATGCCTTTCCCCCCCACAGGGTTGGCTAGGAAGAGGCTTTGGAATGGAAGGAATAGTGGAATATTCTGGAACATTGGCTGGCTCCCTTGGCTTTGTGGCATCTGGTTTCTGGCATGCTTTGTTCTGTGTAGAGTTGACTCATGTGAGCACCAAGGGGGAAGGCACACGCAGTACTCGTGAGCCGGGAGGCCAGGGACACCTGTGCACAGGAGCACAAACGTCCAGGCTTCGTGTGTGCTTCTTCAGTCTTGCTGTGTCTGTGAGGCAGCCTTAGCATTACACTCCTTCAGCTCGTCCGCTGGGGAAACTCGATTCTGGGGGAAGAAGTGAGGTGAGCTGGCGACGCTCATTTACTCTGCACGATGTTCTGCCCGTCCTCTCTCCAGGCAGCGAACATGCCAGATTCCGAGCTGTTCGAGTTGATCTCTGAGAACCGCTCCATGTCCCGGAAGCTGGAAGACTACGGGGAGCAGAAGTCTACGTCCATCAGCACCGCCAAGCGCCTGGCCGAGTTCCTGGGAGACCAGATGGTGAAGGACGCGGGGCTGAGCTGCCGCTACATCATCTCCCGGAAGCCCGAGGGCTCCCCCGTCACCGAGAGGTGAGGGCTTCCAGGGTTAGGGAGGGTCGGTCTCAGACCCCGCAGATGGGATGACAGGAAGGCCTGCTGGGCCCGACCACCTGGAGCCCAGAGAACCTGGGTCCGTGGCGGGTGGGCAACGATGGGCCGCGTCAAGGTCCAGTCACACCCTCTGGTAAAGTCCACGGTCGTGGGAAACACTGAGGTGTTGGGGACCCTGCGTAGGAGCGGTGTGAAGACACGCGCAGGGTGAGAGGAGGACCCGGCTTCCTCTGGGCGAGGGCTCAGCAGGGCTGCACGGGCTTCGTCCTCGTCCTGCTTGTTCTCATGGGAAGTGAAATGGCAGGGCCTGCGGTCTGAGGACTGGGTGGTGGGCTCACAGGTGTTTCTTCCTGTTCATGACATTGCACGATAGCAAGCACTGCCGCCGGCTGCCCTCTCACTTTGCTGGTGACACGCAAACTGGCTCGTTCTTCCAGGAAAGAGAGGACTTCCTGTCCGTTACCCAGTGAAGAGCCCTTCGGGAGTGGTCAGCTGTGTGCGTGCTCACGCATGTGCCGTTTAGTGAGGGCATTTGTCAGCGGCTCTTCACGTGGCCAAGCAGCAGCCCCCATGGCCGCCGGTGGGGTGTGGCTATTAAACCATGATTATTTTACACAATGAAGTATATTTAGTTACTAGGCACAATAAACATGTTGGGTATAGTTTATACAAAATAGCTTTAAATGAAAGCAGGTTACAGAATCGGTGCTGAATCTCTGTTTCCACGTAAAAGACTGTGCCCCTTGTCTCCAGGGCCATCCCACTCGCCATCTTCCAGGCAGAGCCCACGGTGAGGAGGCACTTCCTCCGGAAATGGCTGAAGAGCTCGTCCCTGCAGGACTTGGACATTCGGACGGTGAGTGCTGCTCTTTTCTACTCTCCGAGGTCCGCAGCTTAGTTGTCACTCTTGGCGTCCCCCTTTCTGACGTGTGATGTGTGAAGAAATAGACTTTAGGGCAAAGCTGGAAAAGCTAGACTCGGGCTTTCACTGAGTCAGACAAGCCGAGGCTTGGCCTGGCGCAGCTCTGCACCTCCGTTTCCTCTGAGAAATGGGCACTTTGGTCAGAGACTTTCCAAGAGGATCAGTAAGATGCAGGGAAGGGCAGTGCTGCTGCCGCCGCCCTCCTCACGCGCCCGTCGTCCCTGCAGATCCTGGACTGGGACTACTACATCGAGCGGCTGGGCAGCGCCATTCAGAAGATCATCACCATCCCCGCAGCTCTGCAGCAGGTGAGGTCAGACCACGGAGGCCGGCCCCCGTGTGGCTTAAAAGCCACGGGAACCTGAGCGTGGCCTGGATTCACGGTCAGACGAGTGACGAGTGCCACCTCATGTAGGTGAAGAACCCTGTGCCTCGCGTCAAACACCCCGACTGGCTGCACAAAAAACTACTGGAGAAGAACGATGTCTACAAGCAGAAGAAGATCAGCGAGCTCTTCATCCTCGAGGGCAAGAGACAGGTGATGGGGCCTGGCCTGGGACATGGAGGCCGTGGCGGTGGGGTGGGCTGGTCCCAGGGGCACCCAGCACCCGAGTCCCCGTGCTGCCGTTCGTGAGGTTGGATGCTTCCATTCAGGTGTCTGGAATTTTTTTTTTTTTTTTTTTTTTTTTTTTCTGAAAATGTACACCTTGATACTCTGCCCTTTAATTCCTCCCAGTGTTCTTTTGTGATAGGAGGTTTTTAAGTTAAAAATAGTTTAACGAGTAACTTTGTATCCGAGTACTTTATCCCATTCAGATGGGTTTTTAGAGGTGGATTTGCAGAGAGCCGTGTTTGAAGTCCTCTTCGGGTGGTTGCAGGTGGGGGTGGCCCAGGCTCCGGATGGCGCCCAGAGCCTGGGTGCTCCCGACATGGAGGATTTTGGCCTTGAGAAGCCGCCCCACACCGCCGTCCCCGTTGCTACGAAGAGGAAGCGGGTCCTCTGGGAGAGCCAGGAGGACTCACAGGACGTGGGGCTGACGGTGTCCTGGCAGGAGGTCCTGGGGCAGCCTCCCGCCCTCGGAACCACCCAGGTAAGAAGCCTCAGGGCATCTGGACTGGCCGGTGGGCGAAGGGCGCAGGCCCCAGTCAGGCCCACGCGGTGTGCTGTCTCCCGCGGGGCCTGCTGAGCCGTGCAGGACACGGAGACGGTCTTGACCCTGAGGAGTTGGCACTGGGAAGCTGTGCATGTCGGTTGTCATGGCAGGTATTCTGTCTCCCCTTGACTTGTCCTTCATCTGTCCCAGGAAGAGTGGCTGGTCTGGCTCCGGTTCCACAAGAAGAAGTGGCAGCTGCAGGCCCGACAGCGCCTTGCCCGCAGGAAGAAGCAGCGTCTGGAGGCAGCAGGCGGGCTGCAGCCCGGGCCTGTGCGAGACAGGCCCAGCACAGGGCTGGGGGGCTTCTTGCGAAGAACTGCCCGCAGCGTTCTGGACCTCCCGTGGCAGATCGTGCAGGTGTGCACGGGCGTCTCCAGGGCAGGAGACCCCAGGGCAGCAGCATGGCTGATAGGAAGGGGTCTGGGATGGAGGAGAAAGGGCAGACCTTGACCTCCGTGCCTCTGATTGCAGCTGGTGCTGGAGGCCGCCTGGGAGGCAGCCTGTCCACGTGTGTTGAGCTTTTTCTATGACAGGTTGACACGCACTGCTGTACGATGTTTCCTTTCAGATCAGCGAGACCAGCCAGGCTGGCCTGTTCCGCCTGTGGGCTGTCATCGGCAGCGACTTGCACTGCATCAAGCTGAACATCCCCCGGGTGTTCTACGTGAACCAGCGGGTGCCCAAAGCAGAGGAGGGGACTGCATATCGTAAGGTACCGGAGGCAGCTGTTGCCTCTGAGGTTGTCTCCACGGCGATGGGGCTGCAGAAGGAATCAGGCTTTGCAGATACAGACTGGTGGGCTGCACGGCCCTGAGCCAGGTGTTCTGGAGCCTCCATCTCCTAAGAACCTTCTCGGATGCTGCAGCAGTTACTGAAACGCCCTCTGTGAAGGGCTGAGCTGCTGGTGCTTTGTCCTGGGGGCACCGTCCTCCGTGTCTGTCTGACGTCCACGTAGCAGGGAAGAGAGGGGTTAGATAGTTGTCACACGTCAGCTTTGTCTCCATAGGCTTTTCTGGTGCTAAAGCTTTACGGGGTGTCATTCACACACGTGCAGCTCCCTCACTTAAAGTACAGTTCTGTTGCTGACAGTATATTCCGTCGTGCAGCCAACGCCACAGTTTATCTGAGAACATTTCCATCATCCCCAGGAGACATCCCAGGCCCCGGAGCAGTCTCCTCCCCGAGCCCTCAGCAGCCACTAGCCACGGTCTGCCTCTAGACAAGCCCACCGCAGACATTTCCTATAAGTGGGGTCCAGCAGTGGCGGGGGGGGGCGGGGCTCTGCCTCCTCCTCAGGTGGGTCCTCGTGGTTCTCACCTGGTGTCAGTGAGCACGTAGCCGGCCCTGGCCAGAGCTCACGGAGGCTGCCCTGGCCCATTTCTCAGGCGGGCGCAGGGAATTGCAGAACGAGCTCACTTGTGTTGAGCAGAGACCTGTGTGTGGGAGCTGGAGTGAGGGAGGAGGTTTCTGGAGACGGTGAAACTCCACCCTGGGCACTCGGTAGGATGTGGGTGTGGGGAGACGGGGAGGGCATAGCACAGGAGGGGACAGGTGGCCTGGAGCTCCTGTGGCTTTCAGGATACTCTACCCTTTGGGTGCCGCTCCTGCTCCCTCCGCACCAGGACCTCCCCACTGTCCCCCGGGGCTCCTGGTTTTTGCCGCCTGCACCCTCATAAACCAGGAGAGGACAGAGGAAAGTGAACTGGGACCTGCTGCGTCTGAGCTTGACTGCCTCTCAGAGGACTTAGAGGCTTCTGTTGTGCCCCGAGCTTTAGTTTTACTCTGGAGAGTGAAACGGAGGGTACCCCACAGTTGTGGGCACCAGATGTGCTAGGACTGTTTAAACAAGCATGTGTGTGTGGGGTGTGTGTGTAACAAACCTCACCACTTGCCGTGTGACAAGGTCATTGCTGTTGCCCCAGGTGAATCGAGTCCTTCCTCGCTCCAACACGGTCTACAATCTCTATGAGTACTCAGTGCCGGAGGACATGTACCAAGAGCACATCAATGAGATCAATACCGAGCTGTCAGCCCCAGACATCGAGGGCGTGTACGAGACTCAGGTAACTGCCTTCCCAGCTGCACTGAGCAAGGATCGAGCTGGATGGGATAGGGGAGAGGCCCACGTAGGGTATGGGAAGGCCAGCAGCAGCCACTGGATTCCACCCCAGGGACACAATTTCTGCAGCGATGGCCTGGAGCAGAGGGCTGTGCCCAACTGCCGCCCCGCTCAGCCCCACCCACCCTGACGCCTTGTAGGTGCCGTTACTGTTCCGGGCCCTGGTGCACCTGGGCTGTGTGTGTGTGGTCAGTAAACAGCTGGTGAGGCACCTGTCGGGCTGGGAAGCAGAAACCTTCACTCTTGAGCACCTGGAGATGCGCTCTCTGGCCCAGTTCAGCTACCTGGAACCAGGTATGGTGTGTGCCAGCTGCCCCGCTTGGCCCCACCTCCCACGAATCCCAGGTGACCTGTGTGTCCTCCATAGGGAGCATCCGCCACATCTATCTGTATCATCGCACGCACGGCCACAAGGCGCTCTTCGGCATTTTCGTGCCCTCTCAGCGCAGAGCGTCCGTATTTGTGCTGGACACTGTGAGTTCTCGTCCAGGGCTATGGGAGGACAGACCACTGAGCAGCTAGCCCCGCCTTGTTGCCGGAAGCCTCTGCCCATGAGTGCCTGTGGGGAGTGAGTTAGAAGTGGAACCACCCCTCCTTCGGGGGCGGGGGTTGGGGGGAGAGCTGACTTGGCCCTTGTTCAGGTGCGAAGCAACCAGATGCCCAGCCTCAGCGCCCTGTACTCGGCCGAGCACAGCCTCCTGCTGGAGAAAGTGGGCCCCGAGCTCTTGCCTCCCCCAAAACACACGTTTGAAGTGCGGGCTGAGACCGACTTGAAGACCATCTGCAGAGCCATCCAGCGCTTCCTGCTGGCCTACAAGGTGAGTGAAGTGGGGGTGCTGCTGTTTGAGCCTCTCCCCCAGAACGGGTCCTCCCAGCTGCTTGCTTTCCTGTGCCCAGGAGGAGCGCCGGGGGCCCACCCTCATCGCCGTGCAGTCCAACTGGGAGCTGAGGAGGCTGGCCGGCGAGATTCCCGTCCTGGAGGAGTTCCCGCTGGTGCCTGTCCGCGTGGCCGACAAGATCAGCTACGGAGTCCTGGACTGGCAGCGCCATGGAGCCCGGCGCATGATCCGCCACTACCTCAACCTGGACACCTGCCTGTCGCAGGCTTTTGAGATGAGCCGGTGAGCAGAGTATAGGGCTGTTGCTTGGCGTTTCAGCCGCTCTGCCCACCTTCATGTTGCCAGCCTGTCAGTCTCTGACAGCAAGTTGATCTCCCCAGTTTCCACCCCCTCCTGAGACCAGCCTGGAACTCCCCCCCTGACCCTGACCCTGACCCTGTGCAGGTACTTTCATATCCCCATTGGGAATCTGCCTGAGGACATCTCCACCTTTGGCTCCGATCTCTTCTTCGCCCGCCACCTCCAGCGCCACAACCACCTGCTCTGGCTGTCCCCTACCTGGCGCCCTGACTTGGGCGGGAAGGAGGCCGACGACAACCGCCTCATCATGGAGTTTGAGGACCAAGCCACCGTGGAGATCAACAGTTCAGGCTGCTACTCCACAGGTGGGTGGGGAGGCCCACAGGGATCTCAGCAGCTGGTGTTCGTGTTGTTTGTTGCCGTTCTTTAGTGGCGAGAATCCCAGCGCTGACCCTCAGAGCTGGGCCACGCTGGTGTGGGATGAGTCGGGGCGGGCTCTGACCAGCAGCAATGCTTCTGAGGGAAGGCTTGCTGGGGGTGGACTCTACACCCTGGGATGGTCAGTGCACAGCTGTGTGTCTGTGTGCAGTGTGCGTGGAGCTGGACATTCAGAACCTGGCCGTCAACACCATCCTGCAATCTCACCACGTCAACGACATGGAGGGGGCCGACAGCATGGGCATCAGCTTCGACGTGATCCAGCAGGCTTCCCTGGAGGACATGATCACCGGCAACCAGGCCGCCAACGCTCCCGCTAGCTACGACGAGACCGCCCTCTGCTCCAGCACCTTCAGGTGTCCGTCTGCGTCCTCTCCTCTCCAGAGGCAGAATAAGAGTCTGGGGTTGAGAAGGGACAGTAGGAATCCTTTTATCCTCTGCCCTTGTTTTGGGAAACTAAGAGCTAAGACATTGTCACTGGGGCTTCCCTCCACCTGCTGGGTAGAGTCTGTCCTGGTTCTCCCGGCCGGTGAGGCGCCCAACACCCACCATTCTAGTCTGTATTCTGGCACTGAGGGTGGGGAGGGTTGAGAAGTGTATGGGGAGGTGGTAGGGCTAGCCTCGTCCAAGGGGTGCAGAGAGCTGAGCAGTGGGGTTTGGAGAGGGAGGGTGACTGGGGAACACGCTCTCCCCCTCCAGGATCCTGAAGAGCATGGTGGTGGGCTGGGTGAGGGAGATCACGCAGTACCGCAACGTCTACGCCGACAACCAGGTGATGCACTTCTACCGCTGGCTGCGCTCCCCGTCCTCGCTGCTCCACGACCCCGCCCTGCACCGCACGCTGCACAGCATGATGAAGAAGCTCTTTCTGCAGTGAGTATGCCGGCCGGTGTCCCCGGGCCCAGCACCTGTGGGATCACACGGCCCGCCGCCGCCGGTTCGTGCAACACAGAGTCTTCCTGCTGTTTCTGCACAAGCGGCTGTACAGTGTTCTGACCTCCTTGTCGAATTAATGGTCGACCTTGGAGGTCTGCATGAGGTGCACCGTCCATGGTAGTGGGCAGAGGCGGTTCCCAGAACTTGAGCTGTTACCAATAACCAAGGCACAGCCTGTGCGTAAGGGCATGCGAGTGTCCCGTGCAGGGATCCCAGGAGGCGGCCCTGCTGCCTCGCTGGTGGATCCTACGACTGGGAGAGGTGCTCACTGGGTACTGGCCCAAGAGCTCTCCATCGATGGCTCTGCCAGCCTAGCCCCTCCTGCGTGGTGGGCACAGTGCCAGCTGACCGGGGGCGGGGGTTGGGGAAGGGGAGGTAGTTATTGTGGCTCCTAACCTGCAGTCCTCGTGATGAATGAAGTGGGCTTTCTCTTCATATCTTTTGTCCACTTTTCTCTGATTGTGTTGTTTTCTCATTGATTTGTGAGTCCTTTCTATGTAAGAATCATTTTCTATGAAATGAGTTGCACGTTTTTTCCTGTTTTTGATTCTGTTTGGCTTTGTTTACGGTGTGTTTTCCATGTAGAAACCTTCATGCGTTGTTGCTTCTGGGTTCCAGGCTTTTCTGCTTCAGATCATCCACTTTGCCTCACGGTGTCTTCTGGGATTCTCTGTAGCGTCCTGACTGTTGATTCTGTCCTTGGTCCTCAGGCTCATCGCTGAGTTCAAGCGCCTGGGGTCATCAGTCGTTTATGCCAACTTCAACCGCATCGTCCTGTGCACGAAGAAGCGGCGGATCGAGGACGCCCTGGCCTACGTGGAGTACATCACCACCAGGTGTCAGCACCGCCCCTCTCAGTCAGCTCCTCTGTCCTGTGCCGTCTGCTCTCCGAGCTCCTGGCACGTCTCCTGCCTCTGGAGATCTGGCAAAGCCTTGATTTCACCTTCATTCTGAGAGAGATTTTCACCAGCTATAGAACTGCAGATGGGTCTTTTTTGAGTCTTTTTCCTTCTCTGTGCTTCTTTCTGGATAACTTCTGTTAAGTCTTTAAATTGACCCGTCTTCGGCGCTGTGTCATCTGCCCCAACCCCCCCTCAGACATGGTGCTGTCTCCTCCGTTTCTGGTCTTCCCTTCAGCTCTGGGCGCAGTGCAGCTACAGTGCTCCCGGTCCTCTGCTCGCTCCGGTGCCGGTGGGGTTGGGGCTGGTTGCGGTTGGCAGGCCTGTCTCCTCACTCTGGGCTGCTTCTCTGCTTCTCTGCAAACTGGTGACCTTCTGTTGGTGCCAGACACTGGGTCTTGACTTGTGTGTTGGATGCTTTTGCATTCCTTTGACTGTTCTGGGGCTTTATGTTGTTACTTGAAAACAGTTTGATTTTGGGAGGCCTTTTTGAGATTTGTAGGCAGGGCCAGAGCACCGTTAGTCCAGAGCTCACTATTCCCCACCCTTGAAGAAGGCTCTCCAGTGGCGATGGGAGCAGGCGTGTGGGATCGGGCTCCGGGGAGAGCTGGGACCAGCCCGGGAGGCTTCTCGCCTCTCCAGCCCTCCACGCCTCCCGTTACTCCCGCCCAGATGCAGAAGTCTCCTCACTACTATTGGCCATTTTCCTGTCATTTTCCGTAGGAAGTTTGTGGGTTTTAAATCAGTGGAGGGTAGGAAGGAAAGTGGAAAAAAGAGAGAACTGTTGATTTCATGGAACCAGTCTCTGTTCTGCTTCTTTCCAGCATCCACTCTAAGGAGATCTTCCACTCCCTGACGATTTCCTTCTCTCGGTGCTGGGAGTTTCTTCTCTGGATGGATCCCTCCAACTATGGTGGCATCAAAGGAAACGTGCCCTCTCGCATCCACTGTGGACGGGTGAGGTGACAGTCCTGGAGGCTGAAATTCTTTGGGGTCTGCATCTGTCCGTCGGCCACACATTGTGCTCACATGTCTGAGGAGAGGTCGCGAGCACACAGACAAGGAGGTGCAGGATCAGAGTCAGCAGGGGTGGGATCAGGACCAGCAGCTAGGGTCGGGGCTGACCGAGGAGGGGAGGCCCCAGAGGACTCGGGATGTGGCAGGAAGTGGAGCTTGCAGGGAGCAAGGCTCAGCGACTGGCGTGAGGCAGCTGTGAGTCCAGCGGCGGGAGGGCAGTGGTCATGGGTGGCTGAGAGCTGGCCAGGGCAGGCCACTTGTGCCCGTGGCCTTGATGAGGATTTGGTGGGAGCCATGATGCTGAGAGAGAGCTGGCGGGAGAAGGCTGCCCTTGGTGCTGTGCTGAGGTGGGAGGTCCGTGGGCTGGATGGGAGAATAGGAGGTGCAAGCAGTGTAGTCGGAAGCGCAGTGGTGGCTGCTGCTCAGGATGGCAGGCATCAGACTTCCCGTGTTAACCTGGAAGGTGCTGTCAAGAGCGGAACCTGCTCAGGCATGGGCATCGCAGTAGGGAGCCGACCGGGAGATGTGGAACTTGGACCATAGGACTGGTCGCCAGGGCACTGCTGGTTCTTCCCTTTCTGGGGGGTGGGAGAAGGCAGCTGTGGAGTGAACCCTTGGGAGGGTGGAGCGGGAACCATCTCCACGAGGTGAGTGCACTGAGCCCCAGGCCTGTGACATACCTGACGTGCTGTTAGAGTGTCTGCGGGGATCTGCCGGCTCGGGGTAGACCAGGGTCAACGTGACTCAGCTGGGGTATGCATCCCACGGCTGCGGGCAGACATGGCTGGGACTGTTACAGCAGGACCCCCAGAAAGAGGGCAGAGCGGAGGAGGAGGAGGAGGAGCCTGAGGAGGAAGGTGAGGATGACGGGGGCGAGGATGATGACGGGCAGGAACCGGACGTGGAGGACCTGCTGGAAAACAACTGGAACATCGTGCAGTTCCTGCCACAGGCAGCCTCCTGCCAGGGCTACTTCCTCATGATCGTCTCAGGTGAGCCTCTCAGCTGTCACGGCTGCGTGGTCCACGGAACAATGAGGTCCTGGTCCATTTGCCTCAAGAGAAACCAGGGGTGCAGGGCCTCCCCCTCTCGCTGCGCCTGCTGAGGAGGGCTGTCCCCGAGGGGCTCCTAGTTCTGCCCCAAGATTTGTGTGCACGTGTGGCAACTAAAGGTAAAGCCCAGGTAGGGGAGACGGGGCACTTCCTGAATGAACTGCCCGCCACTGGGCTCTGAGGCTGAGCTTCTGCTGTTGGGAACTCCTGTCACTGATTTGGGTCTAAATGGTCTAAGGTTTAGTGTTTACAAAACAGATTATCCAGGCTGAGGTACAAATGAAGCACATACCTGCAACACCCGTCGTAGGACAGGACCATTCCTGACGAGCCTGCCAGGCTCAGCACTCAGACATGGTCACAAGGTGCTGAGGTGGTTCCATTGTGCTTGTTTTATATTTTATCTGTGTGTCCCGAGTCTCACTTTGTCGAGTTCTTTTGAAACATGTGGGTCTGGTGTGCGACCGGAGTTGAGCTTTTGTTTTGTCGCTGCCCAGTGTGGAGGTTGAGGAGAGTTGCCTCATGTAGATGGTGCTCTAAGCATGAACGTGGGCATCATTCCCGTTTCTGTATGGGCTCTGGCTCCTCTAAATGCATCAAATAGAATCATCACCAGTAACAACATTTCAGCCAGGCTGGCCGGCGGTTTGACCAGCCACCGGGTCTCCCTGGACTCTGGGTCCTGAGCGTCGTCAGCTCCAGGTCCTGTGCCACCCTCTGCAGCGTACATCGTGGCCGTGTACCACAGCATGAAGGAGGAGCTGAGGCGCAGCGCCCCGGGCAGCACCCCTGGGAGGAGACGGG